ACCATTGCTACTTATAAATATTTTTTTAACTACTGTATGCTGCTTGATATATCAATGTATTCATACAACTTTGCACCTTCGTCCCTACAATCCTGTCTCTTGATGTCAACAGCGAACCACCATTAAACAATAGAGTGTAATAGGTTTACTTCAAAAATCCAGAACAGGTTGAGACAAAGATTGACAGAAGTTTTTAGTCAAATCAGTGTGCAATAAGCGAAATAGGGATGAGTCATTGACTATATCTGGAATATGCAAATACGACACTTGGGATGATCCAACTATGAATGTTAAATGAATGAGAAAGTGATGTGAGTATACTGAAATATTGTGAGCCTACACATTATTCTCGCAGCGTCCACTGAGAATTTTACTTTGCAAACGAATACACTAACCACTCATTTTGTATGTACAAATAATTGAAAGTCTCAGACATTTTTGCAATCACTCTGTCTATGCATACCTGTCCCTATTGGCGAAATTCTGTGTCTCGACGTAATGCTTGACTGAACTTCTATTTAGATAAGAATTATTCTCCACCTTCGTCTTCTCGGTTTTATTTCTTTCACACAATTATACTACTTAAAAGTATAAAAGTAAAATATATGCGAAAACCAAATTTGTAGATACCTCTGAGATACTGAAATAAATAGTCCCAACATTTTCTCCGGGAAATTGGTCTGAACTGCTTTAAAAAAATAATTAAAACTAAAATATAAAAAGGTATGCGTAAATTGGGTGGGACCAAATCTTGTATGTAGGCTCTTTGTTCATTCAAGTCGATGACCTAACTGTTTTAATGTCTGTTAACTCTCAGCTTGACTGCACTAAGATAAACAACTTTCTATCAGAAATTAGCAAATGGTCTTCGTCTAACGGCCTTGAACTTAATCCTTCCAAATGTCAGACTGTTAATTTCAGTTTCCGATGTAAACGAAAGTTAAATGAAGCCGTTGGTTCCGATGACCCTTGCAAAATCGATGATATTGATACAGAAAGCAAGTCTGAAGTTAAGTATCTTGGATTAATTCTCTATTCTGAACTATCCTGGTCCTCTCATGTCTCAGGAGTTCTCACAGAATATTTCATTTGACTTTTTACATTAAGAAATTAAGGCACTCCGGCATAACTCAACCCCTCCTCTTACAGTTTATCAACTCGTGTGTTTTACCTATTCTTCTTTACTGTTCACCCTTATTCTTTCCTGGATTGCTTAAAAAAGACTATGTCATACTTCGTAGAACTCTGAAGACTGTCAGTAGGACGAGTGATATCCCATTGGGCCATATCGTTGACATTGTCACTGATAGACACTTGATGTCATGCAACAAATTCGCTAAAGGAATTTTGTCAGACTCTGAGCGCCCACTCTACCAGCAGCTCGAACCTTGTGTCTCCTCAGGTAAAACAAGAAGTCTTTTCAGAAGACTTTATGCACATACGTCTAAGTATGAAAATTCCACTATACCACATTTAGCACGTACTTTATGTGATGAAAATTGTGTCAGACATGAACTAACTAACCTTCTTTGCATCACTAAATAAACCATTTCCTTCACTTCTAAAGCATCATACTTTATTGTTATTGTATTTCTTATATTATAATCCTCTCAATTTTTTCGTTTTGTTTATTTCTTTTCATAAGTGTGGTCATCATTTAAGCTGTATTATGACTGTTAATTTTGTATTTCCCCTCACTATACTATATCAACAGAACATTAGACTTAATAATCTATAACATGCTAAAGTTTCCAAGCTGAATCGACAATACCGTTTGAAACAAACTCACTGTTATTATTATTATATCTAATCATTATGTCGTAAATGTTGACAAATTCCTCCGAATAATTGTTTTAATTTTTAATTTTATATATATTTTGAGTAAATCAGATGCAACATTGTGACAAATACTGAGAATTCCATTCTGTATTATAAGTACTGTTTTTGGAATAAAGTAAATTATTATTATTATTATTATTATTATTATTAAGTACAGATTCCCTTAATATATCGTGTCATCATAACCTTTATATACTGACATTTACCATAGATTATCGTAAAATTCAAAATTTCTTGAAGTCAGCAACCTATGACTAGTAATTCTCATGCAAACTGTTGCCTTAACCATCTTCATCAATGCAAGCAGAACGAAATTTGCAGCATGATATGTGCACATTCTATTTCGAAGCTGCTGTTTTGCTGCAGGCAGCCTAAGTATACAGTCTAAATGAAGTTCATCCAGTTGACGAGTCACAAATAGGATGAAATGCGCATCCTAGATTCCACTGCCAGTCATCATCCACCAATTAACTTCTAATTACATGTCCAGGTATTGTCGAAGCATCTGCACAAAAAGCCGATATGTCAAACTCAGACTGAGAACTTCGGTCAAATCAATCGACGGGAAAATCTAAAATTCCATTAAATTAATATATATATGACCCGTTGGACAAAAGGTGGATCTCGTGGCCCAAGTGGTCTAAATGAAAACGCTTTGGCGTTAGAATACTGTATCGTCATCTTACATTTCATAGGGACCAATCACTTGACACACGCATGCAAGCATGCACCTACACACACACACGAGGATTTCTGCCGAAGGTGTTCAGTAGACTCTGCAGTTTTTCACTTCAAACCACAGCAACATCTGCACATTCCAACTCGACGAAACCATACTCCGATAATAAGTCAAGTGACATGGCTCAAAATCGTTCTCAATCACAACGCAGATGCATTCACTCTTTGTGATTTGTCATATCCAATAATACTTCAGTCTTCTTCCATATCACCATTCTTCTCTCCTCATACTTCTACGCATTATTTCTCTTCTCTCCCTTGGTCTGCGGTGGCGGTTTCGTGGTAGGTATATAGGTAGGAGGAATTATTTTTGTTTCGAATCTACCTGGTGTTCTGGTCAGGTCTGACATTGATGTGTTTTTGCAAGTTTATATAGGGGGTTCCATTGTGCATCTGATGTCGGAGGTGGGTAGATTAGATGATATCTTTGCTGTTTGGAATTAACAGTAAGTTGATGGAATGACTAGTAATATTGTGCCTACCGTTTGGAAGGACATTAAAGTTGTACCTATACCTAAATCATCTACTGGAGCAAGTATCAAATTTAGACCCATTGCTATTACCTCTCCTTTTTTGAAAACTATGGAGAAATTACTTTTATTTAGCCTTGTACCTTCGCTTAAATCCTTTAATTACCCTAAACAATTTGCCTATAAGCACTTTGGATGCAGCTGCCGTCTTATATCATAACACTGCTTCCAGTCTAAATTTGTTCGTTGTGCCTTCCTGGACTATACATCTGCTTTTGACTCGGTCCCTAGGGACATCTTATTCAATAAACTTGCTGCAAATCAAACAGAATGTCGGGTTGTTAACTGGTTACATTCCTATTTCTCAGAAAGAAAGCAGTACACCGTGTATAAAGGGAAGTCTTGCACTTCATTGCCTACTGAAGCTGGTGTCACTCAAGGCGCTGTCCTTTCTCGTTTTCTTTCTTCTTACATGACTTACCTCACTCTGATGAAATAAACTTTGTGAAGTACGCTGAGGATTTCACAGTTTCAATGGCTGTTAATTCCCAGCTAGATTGTACCAAAATAAATAGCTTTCTGTCAGGAGTCAGTAAGTGGTCTGAGTCTAACGGTCTTAAACTGAATCCTTCTAAATGTCAAACTGTTAATTTCAGCTTAAGATGTAAAAGACAGTTAAAAGAAGCCGTTGATTCTCATGACAGTTGTAAGATTGACGACAATGATATAGGAATTAAATCTGAAATTAAGTATCTTGGACCCATTCTCTGTTCTGATCTTCCCATGTCTTAGCGATCTCCAGTAAAATATTCCGCCTGACATTTTACATTAAGAAGTTAAGGCACTCGGGTATAACTCAACCCCTCCTCTTACAGTTCATAAACTCTTGTATCCTACCTATTCTTCTTTATCGTTCACCCTTATTCTTTCCTGGTTTGCTTAAAAAGGACTATGTCACAATTCGTAGAATGCTGACGACTGTCAGTAAGATGAGTGGTGTCCCAGTGGACTACATAGTTAACGTCGTTGTCGATAGGCACTTGACTTCTTGCAATAAATATGCTAGAAGGATTTTGTCTGACTTGGAGCACCCACTTTACCCTCAGTTTTCACCTTGCATCTCCTCAGGTAGAACAAGAAGTAACTTCAGAAAACTGCATGCTCGCATGTCTAAGTATAAAAATTCTATGATACCATACTTGGCACGTGTTTTATGTGATGAAAATAATGTCAGGCAAGAATTAACTAACCTTGTTTCATCTAGTAAATAAACAATTTCCTCCATCCATCCTTATATACCTTCAAGTTTTACTTTTATTATTTCTAATATATTTATGGTCCTGTTGCTTCTTTGTTTTACTTTCATAATTGCAAACACCAACTTATCTCTATGACTGCTGTAATCTTTGTTTTTCCCCTCACCATATCATGGAAAGAGAACATTATATTCAATATTTTTAAACATGCTAGGATTTCTATACCGCATCGACAATACTGTGTGAAACAAGCCCACGACAATTTTCACTTGTATTATTATTATTACCTTAGCTGTTATCATTATTTCCATTTTATATGCTGCATGTTTTTGAAATTACCCATACTGTAAGTGTGGAAAATTTTCTGTGTGACTAATTTTTATTTATAATTTGAGGAAATTAGATGCAATATTGTCATTACTGCTGAAAATTCCATTCTGTATCACAAATACTGTTTTTGGAATAAAGTAAATTATTATTATTATTATTATTATTATTATTAAACAGCCTTTCCCTCTTTTAGCGGATTCCTTCAACTGCACTGTCCATTGGAATGGATTGAAATCAGTCACTGTTATTCTTTCACTACCGTGTCCACGCCAATTAATCAAAGAACTTTCTACGAACTGGATTATTACGTTATTGTTAATGATATATGAAAAATAAACATTTCCCAAAGAAACAAGTGAGACGGATGTACTCAATAGCATATTTTGGTTTATTATGAAACAAGATAAATGAAAAATAAGTTGTTGTAATGTTGATGGGTAGATGAAAGACAACATATTGAGTAGTGCGTAAAAGAATAAATGAAAAATTAAAAGTAAGTGGTTAACCTACATTAATTTTTTTATAGCATGCAAAATAGTCGAGATAAAATAGCTAGTTATAGATTGAATCAATTAAATTGTCTCTGTTAAATGAATCCACAGAATGCAAAACATCCAAACAAAGCTCGAACCGTCCAGGAGTAGCGCGTGAATAAAACATCGAGCGAATACCTTGTAGTGGCTGAGCAGCACCCGTCAACCAATCGGCCGCCCAAAATATATTAAGAAGCTCACATAGGCGATTATTTGATAGCATGGGTTTGGCTTTATTAGGCTGCATAGGATTTAAGATTTCTTCAGGCAAAATATCCACCTAAACGATAATTAACATCATAATATGAGAAAGAGCACTTAGTTACTATGACTCATGTTAACTGGAGTTAAACAATAACACAAATCGGTCTGATGCACCAATATAAAACATGCAAAAGAGAAATGTTCACTAAAAAAACACTGTCTTTCAGTCTTATTCGTTGAACACACACTTGTTAAACACGGTTTTTATGTAAGTCAAGACATGGTATGGTGCAGCTCAGAGACGTGGTAATTTTCGTTTAGTACCTGAATCCTCATGTTATCGTTGAGCAGCTCAGGTAGAAGTGAATCTCCGAATCACTACTTGAAAGTTGTGTAACCGAACAAATCAGCCACACTCGTACTTGGATGTCACAAAATTATCAACCTCAATATCAAAATTAATGTAAGCAATGAGTGGCGTTCAGCAGTTACGACAATCAACCAATCTACTTCATAAGTTCCAACCACTTAGAACCAACCAACCAATGCTTATTAATAAATTGCACTTTCACAACCACATTAAAAAACTGTATTCAATAATCGCGAAAACTACACACTGACGAGCTGGTTTCAACATAGAAGTTTGCACAGATGTGCAGCAGTTAGAGTTGCCACATTCCACGTAGCAGACAAAGCAAGAGAAGAGAGTGAAGAGAGCTTGAAAAGAGAGATAATGCATAGAAGTATGAGGAGAGAAGAATGGTAATATGGAAGAAGACTGGAGTATTATTGGATATGACAAATCACAAAGAGTGAATGTATCTGCGTTGTGATTGAGAACGATTTTGAGCCATACCACTAATTGTCTCTAGACATTGGTTCTTACTATACCGAAGACCCCACAACCAGGCACTTTACATCTCCCTAAGTGGCATCAACTAACTGTTATGGATTTCATTATGTCTTTTCAGTGTGTGTAGGAAAATACCCGCAATGAGAATGAAGCACTAAAGTTTTAAATAAATTGTCCATCAAATGTACAATGCTGTCATTTCTCTCAGAGAAACATCAATAAAACTCGAAGAGTATCAGAAAAACAACTGGTAGAATTATATCACGTTACATCTATGCGAGTGGGACGTAGAGATCGGTTGTCCAACTGTAACCGAATTTACTTCTAATGTGAAACGAGACAAAGCTGGGGCACCTGATAATATTGTGGTGAGAGCTGTCTGCTAGCCAAAATTGGTAGACAGCGATTTACGTCCCAAATCTTGGTCATGAGAAAAAACAAGAACAAAGCCTAACCTTGAGGAACTGAACAACCAATCACAGCAGACGGCGTGGGCGGATACGATTAGTAGATATATCATCGGACGGCAACAAAGAGATGACAGAATAACCTTCAGCAGGGAAACAACCAATCAGAAGACGTTGCTTCTCTGCCGACAATAACGAATAATAATGTACATAAAATTCTATAAATATCTGTTGATTTTCTCAATAAACGATCTGTTGCCTGACCGTTGTCTTCTGTCGTTACAATATGACTCCAGATATGTTCAAAAGGATGGTGATGATGAACTATTGAGTTGGTCAGCTAAAATATTAGGCAGTGTATAGGAATGTCAAATAGTTCCGTTCAACTGGTGTAAATCATTGGTTATCCCAGTTCATAAAAAGGGAGAAAAGTCTTCCCATGATAATCATAATGGGATTATGTTGACTGGCATAATATCTAAAGGCTTTGTTGTAGTTCCAGAGAGTGATATAGGTAGGTGTAGAGAGAGTTTGATCACTGAATATTTGTTCATCGAATTCGCATCTAAAACATTCACTAGGGATGATACACCAATAAAATGAAAGGATAAGCAAGGTTTGGAAGTTATGTGAGCTCCTTGATTTGATGAGGAGCATTAAATTGTGCGCGAAACGTAATCACTAAATTATACAGGATCACTGTATATCTTTACCATTAAAATTATTTCATGATGGAAGATAACAAAATGTCTAATAAGTGTGGACAATGCTGTGAAACAGTTCGTCCTGTGGTCTAGTGTTAGTGGATGATTTTAAACGGCTTTAATTACTTGTCTGGTGTTACATGGTTTGCATGTAGTGGAATCTCTGAATAAACTGTGCAGAAATCATACTGAAAGCCGCATACCTTTATAATCTTAGGTGGTTGTTTGACTTACACGATAACGTATTCAGCGTCGACTTCATTGAAGTTGATGTAGAAATGGGTGAGTAAAGGATGCAAGTGATTACACGAGAACCACGTTGGTCCTAACTGTTCGCGTCTGACACAACATACACCTTATCATCGTTAGATAACTGAAATTCACTGTAGTTAAATGATATAAGTATCAATAAAAATTGGTTCTTCAAGTGAAAAAAAACGCAGCTATCGATACACCTCCTAATAACTCAAAAATAGTACTAACACACGACAGTAATCAGGAAGACTTCGTTTATTCGAGCTCACAAATGAAATCATCTAGCCAGTTTATACTGCACCCTTGACCACATAATAATGCACGTAGAGCTTGCAATCAAAAAATTTCAAGCAAAGTTTGTATAACTGTCATCATGTCAGGATCACTTTTCAATGATTTTATCACACAAACTTAGTCTTAAAGTTATATGTCACTTGTCTCTCAGAAAGAGCAAATTTGTACAGGAACCATTTAACAGAAATCTGAAATTTAACACGAAGTAAATTATCCATAATAAATTACAACTTACACTCTTACTACTTGTCTGATGTAAGTTTCTTAAAATGCCGGTTTTTTGTCTACGATGAAGGTGTCGTACTAAACACCAAACATGAAGAATGTCTGCAATCTCATCAGCTCTAGGCCTTTTAGATGGATCACGTTTCAGACACCTGTGCAAAACCCATGTCATGATTTTCGGAGCTTCAGGAGGAAGTTGGGGTAAAGCGTCTTCAGAATAATCAACAGATGAAAGTGTCTGGAATAAGTATGAGAATGTTGAATGAGATTAAACACCAAAGAGATATTAAGTGTCACATAAAGATCATACCCTATCAAAGCAAACGTATGTATAGCATCTTACCTTAATTGTTGGGCAACAACTCTCACTGTTTATAGACATAGAAACTGGAATAAGCGTTTCTATGACTGCAGAAAAATCCAATAATTCGCCAAAAAATGTACGTAATGGTTGGTTGAAAATTGTGATTTTAGAGAAAAATAAAAAGAGCAGTCGATATGTTAATATCTTTGCATTATTTTCACGGAGGAACTTAATTTCTGACTGCTGACACGACTGACATCATAGATGTCTTGATCTGATCAGTCTGAAGCTTTTAGTAATTAATTACCACACTAAAATTCACCATAGGACTAAGTATACGTATCACCTGTAGAAACCACCACCAACCGTGCATCAGTTGTTCTTAACATATATTTCCGTCTTGACATAAAAGTTTTTCTCCAATCTTGACAGCATATTTTATCGAACTCCTATATGCTAGATATACACTAAAATAAACAGCAGATCATTGGTAAATTCCGATTGGAAAGGTAAAGATAGATCATCTACATTACAGATAATTCGTTGAAGGTTAACAAAAACGTAAAAAAAACATGAACACTAGGGGGGGGGGGCGCAAACAAATAAGCACTCAGTGACTTCAGTACGACTAATTTTTAATCTTTTTGACTCAATCCTATTCCAGTTATTTTAGTCGATAAGGGAAGACAGTACATAGTTTTATATGTGTAGAATATCTTCAGCTTGTTGGTAATTATCGTTAATTAACTTATCTTCACTGGTTAAAATCTTAGAACATTTGAAATCAATGACAGAAAGTATTCTTCGATAGATAACTTATTGTTACATTGCCTTTATCTCCGTTTACATTTGCCATACGAAGTTGAAAGTATTCTCGTCTGGTCTCCTTCTCTTATAATTTAAGGTATGGATGAAAACGAAAGTGACGGACTATGTGTGTTGATGTTTGTTTCTACACTTATATGTTGTGGAATTCATACATAGCTGAAAATAATGCATATTATTAAATCGATAAAAAGTACTTACACCATCAACAAAAGGATTCGACATTCCAAAAAGCGGATATATTAGTGTTGCTGCTGCCCATAAATCTGAACGTGCATAGTCTTGACCGGTTAAATTCCGGTTATGAGAATAATCAATGGGCAAATTACGAAAACTGCATGCGATTTCTGGAGCTAAAAGAGCTGTATTCCCACTATGATTGATGTATACATTATCATCATCATCACTAAGAACACCAATTAAATTGGTGAGAGCAGTTTTCAATTTCGACTGATTAAATGATGATGCAGCTTCACTAGACGTGGTTTGTACGAATAGCACATCCAAAGTCAGTTAACGCCACACAGAAATGTGAATTAGTGATTTCCACTTCTTTATCTACAGACAAATAATAAAAACAAATACTAAAGAGAACATCGTTAAAGTAATAAATATATATTATTTAAATTCTACAAAAATACACAATACACTATATGATTGCAGCTATCTGGACAAAGTAGGACAGAAATCATTACGAATAACAGTAATGTATTTGCTTATTGACCTTTAACATGTTACAAGGACGTCATTATACAACTGAAAATGATGCTAGTAAACTTAGTGATACCATCTGGCGGAGAAGTCATTGTTGCCACTAAATAGCACACGAGGAGTGACTATGAACAGTGAATGATGGATGGAAAACTTCAATATTCACTGGTGGGAAACACTCACTGTATTCGACTGGATATATATATATATATATATATATATATATATATATATATATAATGTTTACTGTACTTGTCCGCCTAACCTACATGGATCAAGAGATAAACATAAATCATACTCTTTTGGCAAGATTCCCACGTATTGTGTAGATAACCGAGAAGTTGTTTTGTGGGCTTGCTTGGTGTCCGGATTCGATCAAGTGTTCTAGGATAGAGCTGTGGCGGGGGGATCTTCTTTCTCCTTTATAAAACCATGAAGGTAAGTATTGGCTGATTCGTTTGGATAGCAAACGCTGGGTACGGCCGACATACCTAGCTCCACATGAGCAGGTGAATTGGTAGTTGCACATTGATGAGGCTCCCAGTAGAAGTTTATCCTTCACGTTCGTGCGAATCATTGGTTTCGTAGAGAAAGTTAGTCTGAGTTCAGCTGCGAAGAAGGTTTTCTTCAGTGAACGGCACAGGCGGTTTCTCAGTATTTCTGCTGAAGAATCTCCGTTGAATTGTAGATTCAAATAGAGAAGTTTCTTGGGAGCAGTAAGCATGGACGGTTTTTGTGTTTTGGGCTTCATGGTTTTTGTGATGAAACGTTCCGGGTAACCGTTTTCAAGGAGGATTCTTTTCAGGGTCTTCAGCTCCTCTTCTATGGTTTCCGGACTGCAAGTGTTGTGGATTCTGTGAGTCAGTGAGCGGATTAGATTTCGTTTTGTATACAGAGGCACCCAACTGTGAAAGCTGATGAGTTGTCCATTCCATGTGGGTTTTCTGTGAATGGATCTTTTGAGTGTCCCATCTTGTTCGCGTCTTGCTAGTTGCACGTCCAGAAAAGATATTGTTGCGTTGGACTCCTTCTCTAGTGCGAACTGGATTGCTGGATGGCAACTGTTGAAGAAGTCTAATATGTTCTCCAAATTTTCCTCATTATTGGCGATAATAAAAGTATCGTCCACGTATCTCTTGTAGAACCCGAAGTTATCAATTGTCTTCTTTAGGTGTGTATTTTCTAGTTTTGATATGAAAATATCTGCAAGCAGCGGGCTGAGTGGCGAGTCCATAGCCGTACCCAGCGTTTGCTATCCAAACGAATCAGCGAACACTTACTTTCATGGTTTTATAAAGGAGAAAGAAGATCCCCCCGCCACAGCTCTATCCTAGAACACTTGATCGAATCCGGACACCAAGCAAGCCCACAAAACAACTTCTCGGTTATCTACACAATACGTGGGAATCTTGCCAAAAGAGCACGAATTAAACTTCTTCAAACTGCAGAAGCAATGGCAATTCACATATTGAATCCTGAACTCTGCATACAAAAGAAGTTTGTTCAGTCACTAAATAAACATAAATCAGTTATTTTAGATTACTTATTGTATGACTATTTACCTGTTAAACTAAACTCTCAATTTCCCTATCAAAAGGAAGGATAGAAATTTCGAGAAAAATGGATGAATTGCGAAGGAAGAAAAATTAAAAACAATTATTATTATTACCTACTATCATCGATGTTATTTCTGATTATGGTAGACTGCATCATGTGGCAGATAATGATGAGCATGAAGACAGAAATACATAACGCTGACGAGAAGACTCTCGAAGATCTGAACTTCACATACACGACTTATGCTTAAATGTAACAACACATACTCGAGGATCTACAGTTGAAAACCAACAAATTTTTAGAAAAGGCTGGCAGCGAAGACAGGACTTCAAGTAAACATAGAGAAGACATGGGTGATGAAGGTACCTAGTCAACAACAACAACAAACACCAATCATCATCACCGGAATAAATCTAAAGGAAGTCACCCCTTTCACTTATCTAGGCAGCACTGTTTCAACTACAAGTGGCCCGGACCGGGATGTCAAAGCCAGGATTGGAAAAGCAAGACATACTTCAACTACTCTGAAATCGGTGTGGAAATCTGCTGTACTCAATCAAACTCAGTAAAGCGAACAACACTGATGTCACATCAGTTCTTCTAAAAAGGACTCCAGGGAACACAGCGAAAGAGAGGTGTCCTACTGAAGCCCTATATCCCATACGGAATTTAAGGGAATAATAAATAATATAAGTAATCATTACCCCCACCTGTTTTGGAATGAAAATGTCCTCAAGTGCCTGATACCTAAATCCATATTAAATAAGTTTATTTTAAATATCACACAATGATGCAGGATTAACAAATGGATGACGTTTTCAGCATAAATTATTGCTCATAATCATATCAATTTGGATTAATGTGCATTGAAAGTGGACCCAGAGACAACAGCGGACTTTATGACGTCACTACTGGAGGTGTGGAAAGAAGGCAAAGTACCCGAGGATTGGAAGAAAGGATACTTATTCAAACTACCAAAGAAAGGAGACTTAAGTCAATGCAAGAACTGGTGTGGAATTATACTCCTGTCCATCCCAAGCAAAATACTAAGCCGCATCATCCTGGAGAGAATCAAACATGCCCTGGATGAAAAACTTCGACCGGAACAGGCTGGATTCAGGAGAAACAAGTCATGCATTGATCAGGTCGCCACATTGCGGATCATCATTGAACAAAGCTTGGAATGGCAGTCACCTCTCTATCTCAACTTCATCGACTTTGAAAAGGCCTTTGACAGCGTCAATCGAGAGGTGATTTGGAAACTACTTCGTTACTACCAAGGGGTGCCACCGACAATTATACATCTCATCCAACAGCTGTACGACAATGCTGCATGCCAAGTAATCCACAACGGGAAACTTACGGAATCCTTCGAAGTGAGGACAGGAGTAAGACAAGCTGGCCGCCTACTATCGCCAATGATTTTCCTGATTGCAGTAGACTGGATAATGCGACAAACAGCGGGCAATGAGGAAACAGGCATAAAATGGACTCACACAAAAAACTTGGAGGATCTGGACTTCGCCAATGATATATGTCTGATTTCCCACAAACTGGAAGATATGCAAGTGGAAAGCAACAAGTTGGCAGAAGAAGAATCCAAGATAGGACTTCAGGTGAACATAGAGAAGACAGAGGTGATGAAGATTCCTGGGCAACACCACCAGCAGCAACAACAGACAACAATCAGCATAAATGGAAGGAACCTGAAAGAAACGACCTCTTTTACCTACCTGAGAAGCATCGTTTCAACTTCAGGCGGAACTGACGAGGATATCAAAGCAAGAATCGGAAAAGCAAGACAAGCTTTCACTGCTCTCCAGTCAGTGTGGAGGTCGACAGCACTCAGCATCAAAAATGAGATCCGGATTTTCAACTCCAATGTGAAGTCAGTGCTACTATACGGATCAGAGACTTGCACTGCGCGTCATATTATTTGTATAAGTCTTTCGTCATGAAATGGGATCAACAAATATAAGTTTGTATATAGATCACACATATCACTCACCATTCAACCATCTTAAGGCTGGATCTTGAGTAGATTCAAAAGTTAATCTTGTAGACTTCAAACCAGAAATTTGGTCACTTTCGAATGGAACACGTTGACGTATTAGGATATTATTGGGTTTAATATCTCGATGAGCTATTCCATGAGCTTCAAGTTCAGCGACAGCTTCGAATATTTGAACGAGAATGGCTACAATATCATCAACAGAAAGATACGACTCAGCATGCTTGATATATGCATCATCATCTGTGACGGTTTGAGAATGTACGTCGACATTATCAGATTTAGAAGATATCGCAGAGTTGGTAGTATTCGGAGTCATATCCTGATTCAATTGCGCTGAACTGGTATCTCCACATGCACTCCGTCCATACTTAGTAATCTTATTACGCATAATTTCAGTATATGATTTTTGAAAACTAAATTTAATGTTTCCTCGTAATAGATCATCTAAAGTAGCTTCGAATCTTTAAACAGACGATAATAATAAATAAAACATTGGAGGGAAATGGTCAAAAAGATGAATGATGTGACATAAAATAGTTTAAATAAATAAACTGAATTCAAGCATTCAGACCATCACAGCAGCCGCTAACTTAACGATTTTTCGGTTGTAGTCATTTATATCAATAATATTTCATAGCTATAAAGAGTCAAAATGCCTGTTATCATATAGTCAGTTGAAAGAAATCATATGAAGCATTTCTTTATATAATTTCATAATCAAAGCGCTACGCATGGAGACCTAAAATGGTGAAGTATTTACAGCTGATATCACCTTTCCTCCCTCAAAAGAATTTTTGAAAAGATCAGCGACTCGTTGATCGATGGATTCCTGATCTGCAGTCAAGTAGCTGCATCCTAAACTCTACAGTCACGGCAACACAAATGTTTTTCATTTTTGAGATGTAGTCACGGCGGTTCATTATTATGACACCTGAGCCTTTGTCTGGCTTGAGAATGACGATGTTTTCATTGTTTCGTAGGTTTTTTATTGTTGTTCTGTGTTCTTTAGTAAATAATTTTGAGTGTGCTGGAGGAGAGTTCTGATATTGTTCTGCAATATCGATCATTTTGAACTTAAACCAGACTCTTTTATCCTCGTCTATGGGTTTAAGGTCGGAAAGTTGACTGCGTAAATACTCAAACTGCGTTTCTGTATTGATTCTGTTTATAAACGGGTTTGGTACGTGGTACTTAAATCCTAAGGACAGAGCTTCAGTTTCAATTTTATTAAGTTTCACATCTGATAAATTGTATATGTATTTTTCTGGGCACTGTGGAAATTCTTCTTGTAGTTGTTCAACTACTAAAGATTTTCTGAGCTTCTTTCCATATGAGTTGGCTGTTTGCGATTGTAAATCTTGTATGAAGTTAATGAACTTTATACGACACACCAAATTAAGGCTTTCCAGTAGACTGTCGAATTTCAATAGATTTGACCTTAAAGCGGTGATGTATCTCTGAGATGAGTCGATATGTGATTTTGTTTTCTTTCAAATGCTCAGAGAAACAATCAACGTGTATGCAGCGGACCACACCACACACACGTGGTAATGATATCTTCTCTACACAACTGATTATGGAAATAGCTTTCGATCGTTTTTTCTTGCATTCATGAAGACATATACTTTCGGACGATACCGAAGTACATATTTTCGAATAGACTAGATTCTTTCGGTAGATCTCTTTACCAGTAAGTGATAGTCTTGTGTTCCATCTGAATCAACTGCTGTGTCGCGTGCAGAGGTCACGGTAGACGTCACTATTTGTCTTAAATTTAAGCTTTACGGAAGCAGGTAACTGCAGCACGCTCGCCATTGATTACGATTTTTGGCCATATCCAATAACGCTTCGAGCCATCGATTCGAGCTAACTCTCAGACTCCAACCAGGGAGTCGTGACACACCAATCGATGCCAACCTAGAACAAATGTCCTTCATCTGACGACACCACGTCATAGACTGACCACCCCTCCGCTCTTTCCATCCCGTCCCAGGGCTGGACAGCGAACACAGACCTGTACGAAAGCCTCTGAGATGACATTCGCAGCACATGTCCAAGCCACCGAAGCCGGTGTTTCCAGATGACGATATTCAATGAATGGTGATCTCCACTGTTTTCGAACACACGCCGCCGAACCTCGGAATTACTCACGCGATGATGTCATCGGACGCAAGTAATCCTACGGAGACAGCAATGGTCCAATACGCAGTCGCCGTACATCCTGAGCTCGAAGAGGCCAGGTTTCACAGGCGTAGAGAAAGACAGCCCGCACCGAAGCATTGCATACCCTATCTGTTTCGAGATCGCGTCAGAAACTCACTTATTAGTGCTGACCATCGTAAATAGGTCAATGTTTTCGATCACTTTACTCCTTATTCTTAAACTAGGAATCAATGCACACCGATCCTGTAGCATCATCTCACATTTGACGAGTTCAAAATCACACGTCAAACGTACCTAAGGTCTCACTTTAGCTGTGAGAAGAGGACTGCATGTCATTAGCGTCTAGACGAGTGAGACTACTCTGGTAGCAAGTCAATCTATCAGACTTCCGAGTCAACTGCCATCACATCCATTTGTAAGTATGTAGTGAAATTAAACAAGAATGGTGACAGTCACTAATGTTTACCACTTCAGATGACAATTCATGAGCTCTTACAAAGGTTACAGCAGTGTACCCATTAGTACACTAGACTTCCTTAGAGCTCCATTCACATCCAGGCACTGTCACAGCATTCGTCGATTGGTGGAGTCAAACAGTGTCATCATGTCAACAAAAGTTTGGCAATCTTTGCAACGTTGACTTCAGTGGGAGGATCGATGTGCATATCCGACTCAGACCGGAGCTGGAGTGTGACAGCGGGCCAGTTGAACTCATCAAATTCTTCTGTCCGAAATTCCACTTATCGGTCCTGAGAAGTCGCTAAAGTTTTATCTCTTTTGAGGGTTATTTCACTTCCCATAGCTTTTTAGAAATCGTTTCCCTAATAAGCCTAAATATTTAACTCGGCTGAAGTTATTCATCAAGTAAATGAAGGTATATATATATATATATATATATATATATATATATATATATATATATATATATATAAAATTAACGACTTACTTTGGCATTAACATGTAGAATGTGTAGGGTCGACCAGCAAATGCTTCAGGAAAGGATTCTGCTCCTGGCCAGCACAAAAATGGAGTACTAGATGAATGCACTGACCGACTAACATTTCCAGAAAATTGCAAACATTTGGATTCGTTGAGCTCAGTCAAACAAGTATCTTTTTCAAGTTCACCAGAACTCTTACCAACGGATTCCCCGTTCACCTTACACTGAGGTGCACGATCGACAAAATGTCCAACTATTGGAACAATATTGGGATGATTTGTTTGGGGGCGAAGTTCGCATTCCCTTTGAATTTGACGATGAAGCAATATCCAATTTTCAGGAATATTTTTCAGTGTATCACTATTATCACCACTCTCAAGTTTTGTGCTCGCTTTTCCGTAAGACGACGAATTCACATAGTAGTTATATAACACCTTGACTGCTAATTCATCAATAGTTTCTGATGTAATATGGAAATTTAAAAAAATTTTGTGAGAAGTGATACTAAAAATGATTTAGAAAAACCATTAATAAATGAAGAAATATGTAGAATACGAACCTCCACTAAAAAACGCCACATCTAATAGACAAGACTTATGCTGTAAAAGGATGAAGATATGCTATCAAGTAACAGTGCTGGTATCTACGATAACTATTTGCAGTTTATAGCATAAACAAATAACACAGTTAAAGCTGTACAACAGATATAAGGCTAAAACTTGGACACTGTGATAGAGTAAAATTCTATTATGGATAAATTTTATCCTGATAAAGTTACATATCATATCAATGTGACATGATGTGATTATGAACAATTAATTGCGCTCGAAACGTCATCAGTAAATATTACAGTATAACAGTAAGTATGGTATGTGCTTTGCGCCATCTAAGTGCAAAGTACTGTTACAAGATTGGCAGGAACCTGTACCCCCACTCACTCTTGCAGGTGAACCGCTTGAAGTTGTTGATGAGTTTGTGTATCTGGGTAGTTGCGCGAGTGCTGGTGGAGGGGTGACGGATGAGATTTCCAACCGTACCATGATAGCTAGGGTGATATACGCTAACTTGAGTCACCTCTGGCGCCGTCACGACTTTAACTTGGTTGTCAAAGGTTGGGTATGCAATGCTTCGGTGCGGGCTGTCTTTCTCTACGCCTGTGCAACCTGGCCTCTTCGAGCTCAGGATGTACGGCGACTCTGCGTATTGGACCATTGCTGTCTCCGTAGGATTACTTGCGTTCGATGGCATCATCGCGTGAGTAATTCTGAGGTTCGGCGGCGTGTGTTTGAACACAGTGGAGATCACCATTCATTGAATATCGTCATCTGGAAACACCGGCTTCGGTGGCTTGGACATGTGCTGCGAATGTCATCCCAGAGGCTTCCGTACAGGTCTGTGTTCGCTAGCCCTGGGACGGGATGGAAAGAGCGGAGAGATGATCAGTCTATGACGTGGCGTCGTGGGATGAAGGATATTTGTTCTAGGTTAGCATCGATTGGTGTGTCACGACTCCCTGGTTGGAGTCTGAGAGTTAGCTCGAAACGTTATTGGATATGGCCAAGAATCGTAATCAATGGTGAGCGTGCTGCAATTTCCTTCTTTCTTCCCTTTCTGATGATAGTTGACGAATACTGTTTGAACTTGTTAAGTATGATTGTTTTCCTTCCAGATGAAGTACTTTGTCCGTTCTCTACTTATATTTTTACTTTTAATCTATGTTGTTTTATTATTATTGTGTGGCACATCTTCTTGATGCCATATTGTACCAAGTTGTTTTGCGTTTAAATAAATAAATAAACTGTATAGCACTGTGACTTTATCAAAATAAAATTTATCCATTATAGAAAGCTGTATGACGTTTTACTACGATTGTAGAATTTATCACTGACTATGTTTAGCTGGTTTCACTTGGAGTATTACGAGTTCCAAAAATAATACCTCAAATACACTCAAGCCTAGAGTATTGTTAAGATACATTGATGATCGATGTATCAAAACGAGACTTACACAATTCATTCTTAAAGATGGGAAGGCTGTTCACATTGCACCAGAAAGGTGAAGAGATGGTACAGAAATGTTGGAAATCTAAGAGCAGATGGTATAACAGTAGAATCCTCAAACTGTTAGTGGGAGGGTCAATGATCATTAAGACAACAACCACGAGGAGACACTGAAGGTGAAGCCATCATGAGTCACTAAAAGCAAAGAAGGTTCTCATGCAATGGGGAAAAATCTTCGCAATCGTGACAGCAAGATTAAACTCAGACGGTAGGAAAGTTACAATTACAGAATACCACGTTCCTATAAACAACATAAACCCAGTGCAGGAGGACTTCCACAAACAACTGCAAAAAGCAGTGGACAAGACCCCAGATGGAGACATAAAAATACCAGTGGGTGATATAAATCCCAGTCAAACTGAGAGCAGACAGCACAAGAAGAGAACTCATCATGGGTTGAGGGACTTTCGATGAAATGTAGAACAGAGAACTGTTTGCAGACTTCTATGCCTTTAATGACTTGGTGACTGGAGGCAAGATATTCAAATACAAGAGTATCCACAAGGAGATGTGGGTTTCACCTGATGGATGCACTAAAACTCGAACAGACTTTAACTCAACCTGATATCAAGAAAGTGAAGATACAATTTACTGGTCAAGAGATCGAAAAGAGGAGCAGATGTGGACTCAGACTGTTATCTAATACAAAGAACCTTTAGAGTTCAAAGCCCTCAAAGACGCTGGAGATAGACCACAATTCACGTTTAGCACCCAGAAACTGAAGGATGAAACTACAAAGAACTCCACAGCAGCCACCAGCAAAAGTCAGAGATATTAAGCAGCATCCCAGAAGAAACCTGGGAGGAGAAATACCAATATAGAATGAAATCTGTAGAACCATCTTAGGAAAGAAGCAGAAGGAAAACGAGAAATGGCTTACTACCGACACCTGAACGCTGATAGATGAGAGAAGGATGGTGAAACAAGTGAACAAGTGCAGAGATGAACAACGGATGGAGAAGTTGAGTAAAACCCAAGCGCATTGAACAAAGGGATAGGAAATATGTCAGGAAAGACTGAAGACACATTTGTGACTCATTGGCAACCGAAACATGACAGACTGCAAGCAGAACAGATTTCACAACACATCAAATAACCAGGTATCTACCCGGTGAGATATCACTGCAGACGAAGCCAATAAAAGAAACGCAATTATCAAACAGGTGAAACAAAAGAAAAGGCTAGATTGTTCAATTCAAAGGACTTTTGAATTGACCGCCATCTGTAACTCATCCAGTAATACCACTACCGCCACCTGCAGCAGAAAAAACTATCAGTGAACACCAACTCTCCAACAAAGCAGCAGTCTAGAATGTCATAAAGTTACTGAAGGCCGGGAGAACAGAGAAAGCCAGTAATTTTGCAAATGAGGTAGACATGGCAGAACTTCAAGTGAACATACAGAAGACAAGGGTGATGATACCTAAAAGACAACAACAAAAACCGATCACCATAGTCAGGAGATACTAAACGGAAGTCACTTCTTTCACTTACCTAATCTGGGGAGTATTGCTTCAACTACAGGCAGTACACGGCTGATGTCAAAGCTCACCGGGATCCGATAGGAAATCAGGCGTCCACCCCTCTGAAGTCGGTGTGGAGATCTACGGCATTTAGCACGATGAGGAATTCCCGAATTTTCAACTCCAGTTCTTTTATACGGTTCACAGAATTGGAGAAGCGTCACGAAGAACTTTTCCAACAGGCTGTAGACTTTCATAAACAGCTAGTGGTAGTTAATAATGCTTTCAGATCGTCCAAGCCTCTGTAAGTGCAACAAGCATTAAACACGTCACTCACTAGTTGAATGTCGACTGCCACGAGAAATAAGTTGCAAATCGACGAAAAAAACTCATCTCTCTTGTCTTAATTAAAAAAATTAGCCGTTATAATGTCTCTCCGATTAACTTGGACGTACTATTTACAACAGAATGGGAAAGGTATAGTGGACGACTGATGATACTACCCAGTTGCTCAGGTTGAAGCAGATGGAGTGTGACTCCAACTCAGGACCTAGTGACCGTAAGTCAAGTGCTTAGGCTAATGAGCGACATCTCCACCATTTATTTCTAACAAATTCTATCAAACATGTAATTACCATTGCCACTTTGATGCTGCTTACGAATTTCCGCACCCCATACAGCACTGTTACATCCTGCAGCAATAAATTCTTTGGGGACTATTGTGTTAGCACAATTTGTAACCAAACTGGACAATGATTTGTGTTTGTTTCTACCAAAGAGATTTTCCAACCATGATTTACGTTTCGGTTTACAGGCTTCATTGATTGGGTGAAAAGAGTTACTAGGATGTTTTTCGGAGAAAAAAGAAAAAAAAGAGAAACATTTGTATACACTGTGTGACTTTTTCATTTCTTATTGGATGAGTATTATCGTCCGCTACAGTTGAAAAAAAGTGAGATGCAGTTGCCGAATTTAGATTTAAAACCGGTTATGGCTTTTATAAACTCCATACAGAACATTGGCTGGTCGTTGCATCAGTTAGCAAATACCGTACAAATCACTATTATTAATGTTACAGTAAGTCTTAAGTGGATAGTATGTTGCAAAATATATTCATCCAGTACTGAAAATTTTATAAAATGTTTTTACTTGTTACAGTAGAATAGACCATTGAAGACGATTCCAGTAAGACATTATGCTATTATTCCATTCCCTTAGTTTTTTTTCAACTGCTTAAAGACCAAGACCATTTTATATGGTGTTACTATAGGAGTAGTTGTATAACACACCAACCATTGGTGCTTGCCAACCAGCCAGAAGTGATCCAAACACCGTATGGCCGTTCCGCTCTTTTCGTGTCCAGGTGTACCAGGTTTAAATCAACTAGCAAAACCGAATCAATTCAAACCACACAAATTAAGGCTATCTGGGTTAACTGGTAACACACCGAATCGCAATCGCAATTCGAGGTGAAGTTGTACCACTGTTCATACGCCTTAATGAATGGAACAGAGATTTAGCGGAAAGTCATGGTGCTTTGCAAATGAAATCAGAAAAATGGAATGAGGAGAATTAAAAAAGATTCTAGTAGGATTATCTGTTAAGTATGAGACTGTTTGATTTTCTCAATTATACACAAACTGACAATCTTGAGAAGTAAAAGACAAATACTAAAATAGGCAACCCCCTTTAATTCTGATTAGGCTAAAGGTCTAAAATATGTTTACAGTAAGCATTCACTGATAAGTCTATCTAACATACTTTAGTGAATAAATAAGCTTTCCAAATAGAAATGAATTTACAGAAAGTGGCAGTTGATGCATGAAGTAAATAGTGAATAGGAAACTAGATCCAGATTATTAATGTAGTTATGAGTTATCAAAATTATATTAACAAGCAAAGCTTAAATTTAAAATTAGATGAAAATAGCATTAAATAGGGACACACTGAAATTTGTCCACGATTATATACTGTGGAATGTGATTACTCAAATGGGAACACCCAAACTACCGGACAGTCTTGGGAGCTGAAGCGGATCAATTAACTTTTTGAACGTAGACAATTTCGGATTTATATTTCTAATTGCAGTGGCACTGGAATTTTGTAGAGTACAGTTAGGCACTGCCTATGGATGGTGACTAGGTATATCGAGTGGTTGAGAAAACTGATTCACTCTTAGTCGCGTATCAATATCTGTGCTTGAATAAAAAATGTAATATTCTTCAGTTCATTTCCTGTGAGTCATGCAAGTAGGTGTTCATTAATGTATTGGGACAAAGATGAAGGATAAGTGAAGCTTACCGACAACAGGCCCGAGTGGACCAGGAATGCTGAAGGTCCGGAAAGATGTAGTGGACACATTCCCTCTTCGAAAGACTGTGCAAAGCACAATCATGTTAACTAAAAGTTTATGCACAGTAGTGCACATCAATTTATTATGATTATATTGGCGGCGGATATTAGCATACAATGATGTAAGATTTCGAGCAAAATTACAACCCGTGGTCACACTAATTATCGCAATTTCCATATTTAAACACCATAGAACTACATTACATATAATATACACATTTTGCAGTTAGTCATTTCTCATCCTATGATTTTGAGTCAACACTGTTAGTGACATACGAGTATGAATTTTACTAACGTTTTTTCTTCCTATTCGTTTATACTAGACTTTGTCTGAAAGGAAGTCATGCCAATAAAATAAAGGAACAGTCGCCGAATCCCTTATATAACCAACAAAAGCTGACGTAAGCCAGGAAGAAGTAAAGAATGACTTTTTATCTTTCGAGTTTGCTGTTAAAAGCAGAAGGCTTAGCGGGTGACATAATGCCCAGGCAGGAAGCCTAAGCCAGTACAAGGTATGTCGGGGGTGTCCGTGAAGTCCTGTGCCGACATCAACGCTGACCATCTATTACGATCCTGTCCCTAGATAACACTAATCTTAATGAAATTAGATAAGATGTTACTGGACAACCAATTGAATATATAAATGCAGTTGGCAATACGCCTCACCCGTTGTTCGGGAGTTAATGACAACTGCTTACCCAAACCTATGTAGACCAAGAGGGTTACTAACCCGTGACCGACCCAGTAGTCGGAAGTCAACCATCTGGACAAATGTATATCAACCCCATCAACCTCAAACATAAGGCGATGTTATTCCACTTGGAGACTACCGATATCAAGCGAGCTATGAACACAAAGAGACCACTTGTTTAAAAGATATCGATAAACAGACTCAATCGGAGTTAGGTGTTCGTTGTGCAACATCTGCGTGGATGCCAATCATGCATCAGTCGGCACACGTGCTGGCCTGGGACAATCAGAAGTTGAAAAAAGTAGCTGCAGAAGACTGTGCCCGGCTGTTGGATAAGGAAATGCAGTTTGGGTTAATAAAGACAAATGAATACCTATCTGTCTGGCATATATATTCAGAGGAAGCCTGGTATCATAACTAATCTGCCAGTGGTGTTGATAACCTGAAACTAGAGGCATAAACAATGTTTATTTTATTCCTTTGAGTTCCCATTGGAACATGGAGCTTCAAGCATGAGATGAGAAGTTTCAGCAGCAGACGTGTTATTCTTTTATACAGTTTGAGGGTCGCTAGCCTCAAGCCCAACCTCCCCTCTTTACTAGGCAACGTATAGGAGTGCAACGCCCAGGCAACAAAACCCGAACTAAGTGCATGGTTGGCCAGCATTCTACCGCTGAACCATCGAAGCACGTAAACAATGCGTAATACCTGTTAAATATTTTGGCTTATTAGGGAAACGATTTCTAAAAAGCTATGGGAAGTGAAATAACCCTCAAAAGAGATAAAATTTTAGCGACTTCTCAGGACCGATAAATGGAATTTCGGACAAAAGAATTTAATGAGTTCAACTGGCCCGCTGTCACACTCCAGCTCCGGTCTGAGTCGGATATGCACATCGATCCTCCAACTGAAGTCAACGTTGCAAAGATTGCCAAACTTTTGTTCACATGATGACACTGTTTGACTCCACCAATCGACGAATGCTGTGACAGTGCCTGGATGTGAATGGAGCTCTAAGGAAGTCTAGTGTACTAATGGGTTCACTGCTCTAACCTTTGTAAGAGTTCATGAATTGTCATCTGAAGTGGTAAACACGAGTGACTGTCACCATTCTTGTTTAATTTCACTACATACTTACAAATGGATGTGATGGCAGTTGATTCGGAAGTCTCATAGATTGACTTGCTACCAGAGTAGTCTCACCCGTATAGATGCTAATGACATGCAGTCTTCTCACAGCTAAAGTGAGACCTTAGGTACGTTTGACGTGTGATTTTGAACTCGTCAAATGTGAGATGATGCTACAGGATCGGTGTGCATTGATTCCTAGTTTAAGAATAAGGAGTAAAGTGATCAAAAACATTGACTTATTTACGATGGTCAGCACTAATAAGTGAGTTTCTGACACGATCTCGACACATACAAAAGACTCGTCTAGTATGCGCCACCATGTGTCACCTCTTGAAGCAAAATGATATCCTGCTATCGATGTCCTGACGTGTGTACGATATATCGATTAGCTCTATCCTACTCTAAAAATGTGAGACATATGTCTCACAGTGGCCATATGGCCACTTGAAGGTGAGCGCATATAATAAATTCATGAAGTTACTGACTGTTGATGTAGATCTCAGAGGGGTGTGTGAAAACTACGAACGTGGCTAAATTCATTAAGTCAGACGAAATACTATTATATCATAGGCTATGAAAAGCATATTACTTGTTCTCGTTCAAGCTTCCACGTAGTGTTAGATAGTTATTTCGTACTTATCTTCATCACAAACATCTGTGACCATCCATTATAAATTATTTAAATTAATCCCAGCGTGTTAAGAAAATCAAAACAAGATTTTTCTGAGCGTTTCGCTCTGACCATCGTTACATGTGTTTACTACTACTAAATAATATACTATGAGCATGACCCCTATAGTAACTTATCCCAGACTGGTTCATTCACTCAAGTTATAATGGAATGAATTTGCATAACACGTATGGTTCTCGGAATGACTTATTTATCATACGAGGAAAGACTAGACAGTTTAAATCTCTTCTCCTTGTCATACCGTAGTCAGAGAGGAGATTTAATCACAATGTTTAAAATTTTAAATGATGACTACGGACCTGACTTATTCTCTCTTTTCCTTCCCACCAGGTCGGAACACCTTAGAGGGCATAGCAGGAGAATTCAAAAGCCAAGGAGAAATCATATTGCTGTTGAGTACTGGTTCTCACATCGAGTCATAAACTCTTGGAACCGACTCCCAGAAGAAGTGGTGTCTGCAACCTCAACTGATTCTTTCAAGAAGGGTTTGGACAACCACAGAAATTTACTAGAAAAGGATTAGCATAGGCTCCAAGCCTTCTATCCTCAACCAATAAATCTGAAATCTTAAAAAGCAATTTATTATTCAGAATGAGACCACGAGATTTATATCTATCAAAAACAAAAGGACGTGTCGATGACATTTAGCCTTTTTCAATAAATGATTTACATTAAAATTTTGCACTTGGTAATAACTAAAACCACTTACTGATGATGATAACTATGCCTCAGATCAGCAGCTGCTGCGAAATGCCTGCTAAATCTTAATAATAAATTTGGCCGTTGCTCCGTACTGCTGTTAACTATCGTCCTGTAAACTGTTCTGACCAGCGATGTGTCTTTTGTGTAACAACCAAAGTGCTTAAATAGTCCCAAAGTATTTGGATGAATGCATTGATGTGGGAAAGAACACTTTGAAATCTAGTAAGAAGAAGAGTTATTTAGCTGTTCACCTACCAAATATATACCAGGCTGTTTGAGGATCACAGGGAATTTCTGCAATCTTTTCCAATATTTAATACCACCCGTCAAAAAGCTTCGCCAAGTCATCTGAGCACTTGGAATATCTTATTAACCGAGTTTGTACATGGGCCAAGCTAAACGTTGAGCACCAGTAACTGCCAACGACCTCACCAATGACCTTGAAACACTCAATGTGCAAGCTAGTGAAACCTCGCAAATTATGTTCTCATCATCAATAAAATACGCTCATAGAAGTGTTTTGCTATTAAATAGGGTAACTCTAAAATATAGCAGCTCAAACCGAAACTAACTAGCGAACGGACAAATGACCTTGAGCAATCAATCAGGTGACTCCGGTTTATTCAGAGGTAATTATGAACGCTCTACACCTTTTGCGGTGCAAATTCACTCCAAAGCTTGTTTTTGATTACTGCTTGGAGAGCGGACTGATTGGAAGGTTGAAAATTTGTTAATATGGAGGTGTCATGCGTATAAAAAGATACACTAACTGCATTGATGGTTTTCTTTACATGTGCAGTGAGTGTCGAAGCAGAAAATCAGTTCGAGAAGGTATATTGTTCTTTTTTAGTTTACAGATTTCTTAGATACTTTTTTATCAAATTCTAAATTACCTTTACTGCAGAGACCTATCATCCTGGAAAATAGACACGCTGACTTAAGTACTTGGAGGAGTTGGCGTCATCCTTCATGTTGATGAGACCGTGTTAATCAGTAAGAAATATAATCGCGGCAGATTAAGCGGAAATCAGCAATGTGTAATGGGTATCTAATGATACCACCCTCCGCAAAGGATACATTGAAGCGATCCCTAATCGGAGTGCAAATGTATTATTGCCTATTATCCAGCGATTAGTGCTGCCTGGAACGACTATTCATACAGATGAGTGGAGTAGTTACGGTCAATTATGAAATCTCGGCCATATTCATCATGTCGTCAACCACACAAATGGTTTTCTCAATCCTTTTGATGGAACTCACACTAATTCCATCGAAAGTTTTTTGGAGTCACCTAAAAAAAACTAATTTTTAGCATTGCATTACTTCTATATAAACGATTTATTACAATTATGCGCCGTTTTTGAGCCTTCTAATTAGTCACATTTGTCCTTGTCGAGGTCATTTGACCGTTCGCTAGGTAGTCTTGGTTTGGGCTGCTATAGTTTAGAGTTACCTTAAATGGGATATCAGGTAAGTTATAGCTTAGATTCAGGAAAGATTAAGTTGCGCTTTAAGCAAAGGACAATTTAGGGTTAGGTTAATCCAATAAAGGCGACATATACTATAATTTTTATATCCGTAAAGTAACGACAGCAAATCAGCTTTGTCCAGGCCGAAGAATGAGTATTCTATGTATAAGGGCTCTAAGAGCGAGAGTAGTACAGTCTAAGTCAACGACTGTCAAGTGCTGACCTTCAGGACGCATTAAAGGTCATTCAAATCAAGGTATAAGAGAAAATAAAAATATCTTCGTATAGGTGCATACATTATACAACTTATGCCTCAGCTACTTTTCGTCTGTTTAGGTTAGGGTCAGGTTAGCGAACATAGGGAGGAATATCAACAGTGTTATGATCTAGAGTCAGATGGATGAATACATCTCACAGGAATGGTATAATTTCTCCGTGAATTGTCCTTAGAGTGGTTGGAAGACGGTTTCACAACACGTAAGAGAAATTTATCTAGTATGATACCTGAGTTTTCACGCCTAGCCGGTGGCAGTAACCGCCTACTTTACGTCCGATATGTGATTAACCTGGTACTTGGTGGACACAGGTGCCGAAATTATCTTTCTCCCTTTTGCGGAGGCAGATCTCCATAGGTAACCTACCTGCAGCCTACACAGTGCAAGTGAAGAAATTATTGCAACCATCTGTAGCAAATAAGTCAGTCTGAAAGTAGGCTTACGCAAACCTATGCAGGGTATATTTCTACTTGCTGACGTATCAGTCACTATCACAGTAGGGAATCTACTCAACCACCATGATCTACTTGTTGATGTCCGCTGATAACAAATGACAGTCGTAACCATTAGACTATCAACTGAAGGTAAAACTACCCAGGTCAGAGCTTGTAACTGGTTAGGAAGAAGGCAATATTGGTTGGTTCGTTTTAGGGTACATTTGTTGATAGTTTTAAATACCTGTATTCCCAGAGACCTCTAAATACGTCTATTGCTTCAGCCTCATGCCATATTAAATCCTTGTTGTGTAATGTTGGTTACTCTTTGTGGGGTTTTATATATACCCAGATCTAGTTCTGGCTTGGTTTGGTTGACTTCCCTCTGAGGTGTTAACCGCCTCATGCCGTGTTCAGCGCATACTTGAATTTGAAGTGGAATTTTAGACTTCTCTACGAGTTTATCAGTCATCTCTTCTGGTGACCTTGATCGTGATTAGTTGTTTTTGTGTGTTTCCGCCCCCTCCGGGCTACTTGTATTGGTACCGATTGCTTCCTTTTTTGGACGTTTGACCGTTTGTGTGTGAGATTTCCTTCTTATCGATTGGTGAATTTTTTCTATGTCAATGTGTCTATTGATTGACGATTCACTGGAATAGCAGGCTTATAAAAATTCCCTAGCATTCTCGGTGTTTCCTCTGTCTAATATTTGAACGTTGTCCCAGTTGAATTGATGTCTGTGGTTGTCTGTATGCAGCGATATGAGGGAGTGGATGTCGTGTCTTTTGATGGCTAGTTTATCATCATGGATACGAAGACGAAGGGGACGTCCATTTTGACCAATGTAGCGTTTTTCGCAGTCGTTGAAACTTATTTTGTAGATGATGTTGGTTTTGTCTTCTTTCACTGTTAAGTCTTTTGGCTGACGCAAAGGTGAGTGAAGTAATTTTTTTGGTTTGTGTGCGACGTCGATTCCCAAAGGTGTGAAGAGTCTTGCAGTGATTTCTGAGATGTTCTTTATATGTGGTAAGGTGATTTTATTTGTGCTTTGTTTTAGGGGCCTTTGATTTGTTAGGTTGGCTTGGGGGTATATGTCTTTTGATGAAATTTCGTAGATATTCATTATTTTGGAAGACGTCCATGAGCTGTCTTTCTTCAATTTTTCTTAATGTAGGAGCTCTGTAATGAGTCCCGGCTCTCTTGAATAGTTTTTGTATACAACTCCTTTTGTGCGTTATTGGATTGTTGCAGTTGTATTCCAGTATTTGGTCCTCATGAGTTGAGTTTCTATCAGCTTGAGTTTCCAAATTTCCTGACTTTGTTTGCTTCACTAAGAATCCCAAGAATAGGATTTTCTTCACGGACTCCTCTTGTCTTGTAAATTCCATGTCATTGACTGCGTCTATACTTCCGGGCGGTTTATACGAATTCCAAACAATGCTCTTGGGAAAACGTAATGATCCCGTCACATTTCAACGCTTGGTGCAGGTATTCCTTGACAGGTTGGTTCCGCACAAGTGTCTAATCTATCTTGGCGATATTACTGTACATGGGAGGTTCCCAGAGAACTGTCCTTACGAGGTTAAGAACAAATGGTTTAAAGCTGAAGCCTTTCATATGCTCCCTTCTTCAGAGAGAAGTCGCATCTTTGGGTCACCTTATTTCATCAAATGGGGTCCAAAGAGACCCAGACCTATAACCCATTCTTGTAGAAAAGTTCGTAGCTTCCTAGGGTTGGCATCATACCATCAAAGTTTCGCCCCTGGGTTCGCCACCCTTGCCTCGCCTCTGCATCGACTGACAGAAAAAATGTCGAAAATTCTTATGGACTAGTGAGTGCCAACATGCGTTCGACGAGTTAAAGAAAAACTTGACGTCAACTCTTATCCTTGCGTTTCCAGATGCATACCTATCGGCTGGTCCCTTTATTTTGGGCACGGATGCAAGCGCCAGTGCTATAAGGGATGTCCTGTCTCAGCTAGCAACTGATGGTCGACAACGCTTTACTGCATATGCCTGTCGAGAGCTAGACAAACGTGAAACGTGGTACTTGACTACATGAAGGGAGATGCTTGCCCTAATTAACTTCCTCAGACACTTTTGACATTATCTTCTTGGGCGCTCCTTTCAATTACTCACTGAACACCGTGCATTACAATGGCTTCATATATTCCACGAATTTGAAAGTCAGGCGGTTCGTTGGCAAGAACGTTCACATGAATTCGATCTCACCTGCGAGTATCGCCCAGGGTCCCTAAATGCTGACTCCGTTGTCCTTTCTCAATTGCCGAATTGTGCTTCAACAATAAATGCTATAATTAATACAGGCATATATGTTGATTGGGAAACACTGTAGGCAGCCGACGTAGATATCCGAACTGTCTACTCGCGACAGCTCCATGTGAACGACAAACCGTCGAATAAGGAACCACAGAGTTTGTTCGATATAACACAGTACATCTGTGGTATGTGGGGTTTGTTATGACTTGCCGATAATATCTTGTAAATAGCTGAAGAATCTTCATCGCATTTGAAAGTTCCAGAGGTGATTCACCTTGTGCACCACCAACTTGGTCATGCTGGTCAACAATACCGAACATGCTGTCCGTCAACACTTTGGTGGCCGCCTCTTCATCACGAAGTCACTGAATTCTGCTGCGATTTCGCCACATGTGTGCAGATTAAGCAGCCCAAGCCGGCTTCCCGAGCACCATAAATGCCCACGCTAACCGAAGCTCCTAATAACCGAATCGAGAAGGATGTTATTTGGCCGGTCCCAGGCCAAGACGCGGTAATCCCTACATATTCGTCATGGTTAGCTACTAAGCAAAGTGGTGTGAGGCTGTTCCCTTGCAACAAGAAGATGCCCTGACGATCGGCCGTGCTTTCATAGATACTTGGGTGTGTGGCTTTGATGCCTTCCTTTATCAACACTCCGATCAATGCGCTGCTTTCGAGAGTCATCCTACCGCGCGAACCTGCAATACTTTTGGCATTTGGAAGACTCACACTACTTCATACCATCAAGTGGGTAATGGGCCGATGGAACGCACCAACAGAACTATCAAGAATCTCCTCCATGCCTTTTCACACAAATCCCCGGAGAACACCTGGGACGACGTTCTGCCTCAGTGTTTGCTTGCGCATCGCTCTTTAGAGCAGTCGTCGAC